TAATTTAAATGTTTATTATTACTGAGAACAATTAATATATAGTACGAGATTGAGAAAAATTATAGGTAACATTATGAAGCAATTATTTTGAGTGAAAAAATTCAAGGTTATATCGTATCTTTCCCCGCGGGCCGGACAACCCTTGATAAATAAATAGTTTTTTGAGTAAATAGTATAGCACGTATTTTTCCAATTCCGCATTAAAAAAATTAAAATAAAGAAAATTAATCCAAAATTAAAAAAGATTTAAGGTAGGTCCCCTTGATAAAAATAAAATCTATATTAAATTAAAATGTAAGCTTTCTTTTAGGCGCAAAAGTCTAAACTAAATTATGTCGAAATGACTGAACGGGGGATACAAACATTATTGACTTACTAAAATTACTCAAATTAAAAATAGGGGTTGTGTTTTGAAAAAAGTAAAAAATTAGGGTGGTATGTATTTTTAACACCACATTTAAAAAAAAACAATACACAAAAGTTTAAAAATTAACCCAAAATTTAGGGTGTACAACCCTTATCACTTAGATGTATGAAACATAGATAGTTACCAATTCTCAGGTCTACTGAATACGAATATGAAATTTGGTGAAAATCGTTAAGGCCGTTTCGGCGAATTTTTATATATGATTCAACAGATGATTAAAATTTAAAGCCAATAAAGTATTAGTTCCGCATTATATTAATTAATGTTCATTCATTTTTAGGTGACAACAATTTCCACAAGGGCATCAACATGTTCCTGACCAAAAATAAATTCAACACGGCATCTTCCGGGGACTTCTGGAAAGCTTTAGAGGTAAATCACTAAACTTGAGTAATATTTACTGTCTAGATTTAAAATTTTGGAAAAATCTTCAATTATTTCTGTTTTTCAGTTTGTTAGCCATCTGCCAGTGGCCGAACTGATGTCAACCTGGACATTCCAACCAGGTTATCCTCTGATCAGAGTGTTCGAAGTTCACCAGGGCGAAACCAGAAATATCACTTTGACTCAGGAGAGATTCTTTGCAGACGGCAAACCTGATACAGAACACAGACTGTGGCTTATACCGATTACCATTTCAACCAGCAAAAACCCAAATAAGGTAATAGAAATAATATTTTTATCCAAGAATAATTTCAGTTGTTTTAACAGATTTCTCTATCTAGGTTGCTCATTCAATCCTGATGGAATCTCCGACGTTAGAAGTTCAATTAAACAACGTATCACGCGGTGACTGGATCAAGGTGAATCCAGGTTGCACAGGATATTACAGGTGTGTCTATTCACCTTTTGCTGTCAGACACTTTTCCAAAGCTATCAAGGATGCCAGGTTGCCGCCCAACGACAGGTTGGGACTGATGGACGATATGTTGGCTTGTGCCAGGGCAGGATTTGTCGATACAGGAAATGTAAGATAGAAATGACTAGGGAATGCAATACAGATAGTAAATTTCAATACCGGTATTTCGGTAATTTTTTATTTTAAAACCGGAATACCGGTAAATTACCGGTATTTTCATTATCTTAAACAAACGTAAACAAAATTGAAAGTTACTAGTACAAATATGAAAAAATCTATATACAACCACAACTATATTCAACTAAACAATAAAATAAAACAATAAGTTTACTTTTTTAAATAATAATTTAACAAAGTATATGCAATTTAATTAATTCGTTATCACTATCGAGTATATTGAGTACTTTTCACCAAAAACAAACTTATGAGTAAGAAAGACCAAAAACTCATAAAAGATCATATTACATTATTATAATAAACTGTATTGTCTGTATCCGATGTGTTAAATTAGCATAATCTCCAATATTTAAAAAAAATAATTTTTCTACACTAATTTAAGATCGGATACTTTGCCGAGATAAATAATAAGTTACTATAATTGATGAGTATTGTTATTTAAAACAATGTGATGCTTCTATAGTATTTTCAAACTTCGAAACGTTTTCGAAAAATAATCTTCTATATATATAAAAATAAGTCGGGTTTTCCTTCCTGAAGATTTAACTCCAGAACGCACGAACCGATTTCGACAATTTTGCATTCTTTGGAAAGGTCTCGGGCTCCGCAAGGTTTATAGATAAGAAAATTAGTGGTGCTTGGCATCGTGCCCTAATGCAAATTGCTGGAACTTCACGCACCGTAATTAAAAATTCGAGTATTAAAATAATCAATAATTGCAATTGTTTTAAATAATTGCAAATAGATTATCTTCTATATATATACAAATAAGTCGGGTTTTCTTTCCTGATCAAATTTTTCCTTTTCAAATATAAAACAAACAAAAAATTTTTTCATCTTTCTCACGAAACCATCTGGTGGCGAAACGCAGTTCGTCGGGTTTGCTAGTATTTTATAATTGTAATAAGAAGCAAAAATATTTAGTAATTATTATAATTATTATGTATAAAGTTAGAAAAAAATAAAGATTGCGCAGGGGTAATCTGTTAATCTGTATGATATAAAATATTTTGGCGGAAATATCACTTAAAAAACCGTTACATTTTTACAAAAGATCAAACAAACATCATTATCTGTCAGTCCAATTCTATTTATTGTAACACGACATGAAGACCTTTGGAAAGCAATAAATATTCAGTTTAATGACAAGTTGAGATAATATTTGACATTAGTTTATCTTATAGAATCACTTGAAGATACAGCTGTTTATGCGATTGTGGAATTTAATGATAAATTTGTTCCGAGAAATTTAAACTTTAGGGTATTATGTATCAAATAGCGCTTATGTAAAAATACCGAAAATACCGGTATTTTTTGGAATAAATACCGGTAAAAATACCGCTGAAAAATCGGGCAGTTTACCGGTAATTCAGTATACCGGTATACCGCTATTGCATTCCTTAGAAATGACTATTATCATATGGTTTTATGGATGGAATGAATCGATTATTTTTTTCTGTAGCTTTTGCGTTTCATGGAATATTATTCTGAGGAATGCAATGCGGCAGTTTTGCAAGGGATGGCTGCATGTGTCGCTAAATTGCACGATATTGCTTCCTATACACATTTGAGGGCTGAATTTGGAGCCTTTGCCAGGAGGTTGTTTGCTGATTGTTGTGGACTTTCTGCAGTCACTCAGGCGCCCATATCAAGGTACACATTGAGATGGTAGACACATTATTATATTTAAATTGTATTTAATTAACTTTTTGTGGGGTAAGTTATATTAATCCCCAAAAATCGAAAAGGAATGTTTTTACATATTTTTACGTTTTAAAGGTTTCTGAACATTTTGGCATAGCTAAAGGTAAAAAATTCGACTGGTAGAAAATTAGACTATTAGATAAGGAGAAAGGCAAAAAAATTGTCCGGTAAAAAATTAAACAGATAGATAATTAGACTTTTAGAAAGTTAGACATGTAGATAAAGAGATAATTATCTCTTTATTTACATGTCTAACTCTATTAGGTAAAAATTAGACAGGTAGGAATTTAGACAGATAGGAAATAAGACAGGAGGATAATTAGAACAAATGAAACAGATGAATGATTAGGCAGGTAAGAAGTCATATGGGTAGAAAGTTAAAAATGTAGAAAATTAGACAGATAAAAAATTAGACAGGTAAGAGCTTAGATAGGTAGGAAATTATACTAGTAGATAATTATATAGGTAATTAGACAAAGAGATAACTAGTCATGTAAAAAAATTAGGCAGATAGGAATTTAGACAGGTAGAAAATAAAAGAGGGGGATGATTAGAACAAATTAAACAGATGAATGATTAGACAGGTAAAAAGTTATACAGATAAAAAATTATATATGTAGAAAATTAGACAGATAAAAAATTAGACAGATAAAAAAAAATAGACAGGTAAGAGCTTTGATAGGTAGGAAATTATACAGAAAGATAATAGTTAGGCAGGTAGGGAATTAGACTGGTAATAAATTAGACAGATAGGACATTATACTAGTAGATAATTAGATAGGTAATTAGACATGCAGATAATTAGACAGGTATAAAATTAGACAAAGAGATAATTACGCAGGTAAAAAATTAGAGAGGTAGGAACTTAGACTGGTAGAAAATAAGAAAGGGGAATAATTAGAATAAATTGAACAGATGAATGATTAGGCAGGTAAAAAGTTATACAGGTAGAAAGTTAAACATGTAGAAAATTAGACAGATAACTAGTGCTATATGGCATCGTGCCTCAAGGAAAATTGCTGGAACTTCCCGTACCGTAATGAAATATTGGAGAAATTTTAAACGTTTTCAAATATATTATTACAAATACTGTAACTTTCATTATTTTTGCTATCTTGTTTGTTATATCTGAGCAAATCAAATGTAAATCATAAATCAATTTATCTCCAGAACATTAACAATCGTCATTTCATTTCGAATTCCAATTCAAAAAAGTAGTTGCCTAATTTACACAAAAAACAAAATTGAAAAAGTGCTCCATATAGTCACAGTCTAAACGCATTCGCAAATAATTCTGTGCGACATTTTCACTTATACTGTGCTTAGCTTGGCGGCATTTTCACATTTTTCAATAGTTTTCTTTCCACAAAATTGGAAAAGTGCTCCAGTACATAAACAGTCTAAACGCACTTGGGTAAACATTTATACCAGAGTGGCGCATAGACTGTGCTTAGTCTGGGCATTTTTTTGAATTTTCAATCCAAAATTACAAAAATATTTTATGGAAAATAAAAAAAGATGTAATAATTTTTTATCCTCAAAAGCAATTATTTGTCAATACAAGCAGAAAGTTTTTTAGATTATTCAAATCGGATACTTCGTTCTCTCAAAAACTCGATTTGTATTTTCTGCACTCTTTGCTTCGTATCTCCGTAACGGCTGGACCTGCCTTTGCCAAACACTAATCAGCACATCTCCCTATCAATAGGAATCGAATGTTCTATGAATCATTCAAATCGGTTGATCCGTGCGTTCGAAATCGAAAACAAAAAAAAAAGCGGACACATGCACTCACACACATCATTTTTTTCTGAGGTATGCCAAAACGTTCAAAAACCTTCAAAACTTGGAGAAATGCAAATATTTTCATTTTCGATTTTTGACGCATTACTATAACTACCCTACGGGAAGTTAATGATTAGACACATAGAAAATCAGACAGGAAAGCTTAAGCAGGTAAACAAGTAGTCAGTTATACAAATCATATACAAATTACATACCGTTGAGTAAATCGATCTTTTACACATATCAGAAAGTTCAGGAAACTTGCCCTAAAGCAAAAACTACTTTAGTACTGCTACATAATACTACTAGTTTTCTTCTTCAGTTTGAAACCAAAAGATCCAAAACCAGATCAGGAAGATGACGAGTTTGATCGTCTCACAATTGACATGTCGATGCAAACTGAAGGCGAAGAGGATCTCCTTTGGCAATTGGCATCAGGACCGACTGCCGATGGAGCAAGAGAAGTTCCTGCTGCAGTCGTCATATCTCAATTGGTGAAATATGACGATGAACCCACCATACGGGAAGCCAAAATAAGGTAAAGGACAAAGAACTAGTCTTAATTAAGACTCGAATTAAGGGGGTATTCTAGTGTAGAGCGATTAATTTTAGGTCATTTTTAAAGCGTCGTAAAAGAAAGCAATGACGGTATGAATTTACTATCGATTTTTTACCACTTGTTTATTAATATTATTAAAATACAATACGAAAATTTAAAAAAAAATAGTTGAAAATTGAAGAAACTGGCAGTTAATGATATGGGGCGTCTCAAAAATTTGGCACCTCAGTCTTAACATGATTTCAGCCCTCCTAGCCATCCAAAATGATAAAGAAACTAGCTGTAAGTGGAATTCTGTCTTAAGGCAATTAAGACATCGTGCCTTAAGGCAAATTGCTGGAACTTCCCGTACCATTTTTTTTTTAAAACGATTAACATTTTTGAAAAAATTTCGAAAAAAATAAGATTTTTGAGAAACTATAAATTGGACCAATAATTACTTTTTTTTTGAAAAAAATTTTTTTTAAAAAAAAAAAAAATTAATTTTTTTTTTTTTTTTGAAAAAAAATGTTTCTATATTTTGACATATTTTGGAAGATCTAAACTTTTTTTCAAAGCAATCGTACTGCTTTAACTGCATAAAGACGAAATATCAAAGCCAGTAAGCGCCGCGTCGCCGTCTAACGCGTAAACATTGGTACGGAACCCATAGGACTGTAAACCAAATTCATACTTATTGTTAAAATATCTATAAAATATCTGATAATTTGATGTACATAAGTCTAATGATCATTTTTGACCACCAAATGGCATTTTTTTTTACTTTTTTCATTAGATCTCCGAAACCGCTAGACCTGCCTTTATGAAAATTTGATCGGTTTTTCACCTTCTCAATATAAGTAAAATGTTTTTTGAATTATTAAAATCGGACGCCCCGTTCTCTTAAAAACTGAGTTACCGTTTTCGGCACTTTTTGCCCCGTATCTTCGGAACGGCTAGACCTGCCTTCGCCAAAAACTAATCAGCACGTCTCCTTATCAATACAAATCGAATGTTTTTTGAATTATTGAAATCGGTTGATCCGTGTTCCCGAAATCATCGACGAAAATTTGTATCCGCACATACATACACACACGTACATACATACATACATACATACATACATACACACACACACACACACACACACATACATCCATTTTTTCTAAGGTATGCCAAAATGTTCAGAAACCTTTGAAACGTAAAGATCTATAAAAAAATTTATGTTCGATTTTTTTGCGATTACTATAACTTGCCCTACGGGAAGTTAATAAAAAGATTTTTAATCTACAATGATGTCGCAATCGCCCGAACTAGCGATGAGTAAAAAAAATTTTTTTTTACAAATTGGCGACTGTTTGAAAAAAAGTGTCTTTTTTACTGTTTTTTTTTAGTTCTTCAATTTTTTTAAAAATATTGAAAATTAGAATTAAGGGATAATGCTAGTTTGGGCTACGGATAGATCTATAAACAAGACTCTCAAATCTTGTCAACAGTACTGAAAAAGTCTGTGAAAAAAACGTATTTAAAGTTTTGCGTGAAGTTTTTTGCTGTCAAAGTCATAAAATGATATGTTATACTTTTTTTATTTAACCTGCCATTCCTGCTTCATGCATCGGACCTTCTTTTACTTAAAAAAAACTATTTTCTGCATTTCTCTCTTCAAATCGAGCAGTTCTAGCCTCCTTTGAAGCGTTGGATTTACGTATTTCAGATCATTCAATCCGGGCATTGTCTCGTCTTACAGCAAATGAATGTGTTTCTGGCCCAATTTGCATTACCATAATGGTCATCATTTTTAAAATCGGAAAGAAACCTTTATTGAATATGCAAACAGCAATAAATCTGTTGCTATTTCAATTACCCGAGATCGCAAATGAATATGCTTCGGCGCGAAAATCCAAAACAACCAGTTCAGAGACTCATTATTGTTCTGAGTTTCTGAACCTATACATCGAATAAATAATTCATTTGACGATAAACTGTCATAAATTGGTCTAATGACTTCCTAATGCCTTTTGTCCGATTAGACCCTGCCAAACCAGTTTGGAAACCGTGTCAGTAAAATGCCTATATCTCCGAAACTAATTCAAATTTTCAAAAACCTTCTCGTACCCATATTCTTAGATAGTTAAACTTTGAAAATATGAAATAAAAAAAACTATTTTTTTGAATTTCTACACTAGAATACCCGCTTAAATTGACTATTTATTGTGGTAGGTTTTTGAAACACATTACTGGCCGAAAACAACTCCCATCGGAGTTGAGGGCTTCTTGTCTAAGGGCTGTGCTCAGGGATGCTGACAGTGATACCTACGAGCAAGTAAGTATAGTTATCTGAACATAGTCAGGATTTTTTTGTAAAATATTTGTTGTTTTGTTTTTAGATCTTAAGACTTTGCAAGTTAGCAGCTTATCCTGGTGAAGCAATGTCGTTGTTATTGGGAAAGCCAAATCGTAAAGACAATCAATCTGCAGGTACAAATAATAATTACAACCTTAGTATATAGTGAATTATATTTACTGATTGTGTATTATTTAATTCTACTAATTATTAACTTCCCGTAGGGCAAGTTGTGGTAATTGCAACAAAAAACGAAAATGAAAATTTTTATATATCTTTACGTTTAAAAGGTTTCTGAATATTTACCTTACAATATAAAAAAATGTATGTATGTGTGTGTGTGTGTGTGTATGTTTTGTATGTCCGCATTTTTTCGTCCACGTTTTCGGGCGCACGGATCAACCGATTTGAATGGTTTAAAAAACATTCGATCCCTATTGATAGGGAAATGTGCTAATTAGTTTTTGGCAAAGTCAGGTCCAGCTGTTTTGGAGATACAGAGCTAAATGTGCAAAAAATGGCAGTTTTTGAGTGAACTAAGCGTCCTTAGATTTGAGTGATCTAAAAAACTTTCTGTTTGTATTGACAAAACAATCGCTTTTGAGGATAAACTAGCTGTAAGTGGAATTCTGTCTTAAGGCAATTAGGGCATCGTGCCTTAAGACAAATTGCTGGAACTTCCCGTACCGCAATTCAAAATTCGAGTAATTAAAAATAATCAATTTGAAACTTTTAATAGAATTTCGAACCATATTAAATCATTCTATCTTAAATCATTTATTTTGAAATATTTTGGAAATTCTGAACTTTTTTTCAAAGCAATCGTACTGCTTTAACTGCATAAAGACAAAATATCAAAGCGCGTAAGCGCCTCGTCGCCGTTTAACGCGTAAACATTGGTACGGAACCCATAGGAATGTAAACAAACAAATTTATACTTATTGTTAAAATCTCTATAAAATATCTGATAATTTGATGTGCATATGTCCAATGATCATTTTAAACCGCCAAATGTCATTTTTTTTACTTTTTCCTTCATATCTCCAAAGTCGTTGGACCTGCCTTTCCAAAAATTTAAACGGTTCTTCATTTAGTCAATACAAATAAAATGTTTCTCGAATTATTCAAATCGGACGCTCCGTTCTCTTAAAAACTGAGTTACCGTTTTCGGCACTTTTTGCCCCGTATCCTCGGAACGGCCAGACCTGCCTTTGCCAAAAACTAATCAGCACGTCTCCTTATCAATACGAATCGAATGTTTTTTGAATTATTCAAATCGGTTGATCCGTGTTCCCGAAATCGTCGACGAAAATTTGTATTCGCACATACATACATACACGCACACACACACATACATACATACATCCATTTTTTCTATAAGGTATGCCAAAATGTTCAGAAGGTTTTGAAACGTAAAGATCTATAAAAATTTTCATTTTCGATTTTTTTGCGATTACTATAACTTACCCTACGGGAAGTTAAGAATTATTACATCTTTTTCTATATTTCATAAAATATTTTTGTGATTTTGGATTAAAAATTCAAAAAATTACCCAGGCTAAGCACAGTCTAAGCGCTACTCTGGTATAAATGTTTACCCAAGTGCGTTTAGACTGTTTATATACTGGAGCCCTTTTCCAATTTTGTGAGAAAACTATTGAAAAATGTGAAAATGCCGTCAAGTCAAGCACCGTATAAGTGAAAATGTCGCATAGAATTATTTGCATATTTGTTTAGACTGTGACTATACGGGAGCACTTTTTCAATTTTGTGTAAATTAGGCAACTATTTTTTTTTTTGAAATTGAATTCGAAATGAAATGACGATTGTTAATGTTCTGGAGATAAATTGATTTATGATTTACATTTGATTTGCTCAGATATAACAAGATAGCAAAAATAATGAAAGTTACAGTATTTGTAATAATATATTTGAAAACGTTGAAAATTTCTCGAATATTTCACGGGAAGTTCCAGCAATTTGCTTAAGGCACGATGCCATATACCACTAGTATTTATTTAATTTGCAGGAGGGAGCACTGAAACTAGTTCAGCCTTTCTTCACCAATTGCCAGACAATGAAGAACGAATGAGGATATTGAGGGCTCTCGGGGCCCTACGAGACGATGCACTTTTAGCCAGGGCCCTTCAGTTTGGAGTTTCGGTAATTTGGATAATGATACAATTTTTTATTAATCTGATTTATTAATATTGAATTCTGGTTCGTAATAGGATTCTGTTCACCCTCAAGAGGGCGTCATAATCATTGGAGCCATTGCCAATAGTCGTAGGGGAAGAGATATGGCCTGGAAGTTCTTCCAGTATAAATATAATGTATTTATGCAGAGATATCAGGTGATTATATAACTTAACTAAATTGTTGCATTTATTAAACAGATTTTGATAGAATTGTTATCAATAATATGAAAATGAATTGCAAAATGTGTTGGTAAGGGCATAACTCAACAACGCCTGGACCAATTTGGCCAATTTTTTTTTTAAAATGTTCGTTCAAGGATGGTTCTTACGGCGACAAAAAATCGAATAATTGCCGGGAAAACCCTAAAAACAGCCCTTTTCTTTTTACATACAAACGTTAGTATTTTCATATGTTTGCCATTGGATACGGAATATTTACATTGGAGCGTTTTGGATCTGAATTTTTTTACTGTGCTCCATTTGCATGAAATTTTGAAATTAGGTTTATCTTACTCTCAAGTTCAAAAGTGAAAATAATTTAGACTCCTTTGCCACTTCCCAGGAGGATGACATCCTTTCTCAGTGGTGTAATTTCATTTTTTTCCAAAATAACGTCGGATATCGATAAAAGAACTAATTATAAGAATAAAATGTTTTATAATGTTTTTTAAAAAAGCAAATACTCATCATTTTATTAAAAGCTGCTGTACATTTAAGATCCACATGGGTGGAATAATTTTCAACTAATTGATAAATATCAGTATAGGTTATTAAAAAAAATTGGAATTTTTGAATTGTAAACATAAGTACTGTACAATGTCTGTCTGGTCATCCAGTATGAAATATAATATAAGCCAGCAGGTCTTATTTTATTATTTTTATTAATTTTGTGAATTAATACATTAGGCCACATGCAATTATTTTCAATTTTTCTTAAGCACAACATTTTAGAAAAATTTATATGTTGTCTGAGTACCGGTCGAAAATATAATTATTTATTTTTTTTACCTATATTCCCGGAGGAGAAGTTTGTTTTTGCCAGAAAAAACGATTTGCCTATTTTATGTTTTCTCGATGTTTCGAGTCATTCTGAATCGAATGAGACCAACATCAGGATAAAGTAATTGTGTATGTGTGTGAGCCGATTTTTGACCTTTCGTCGCTGTTTACTGAATATTGGGCCAGAAAAAAATATAAAAAGGACTCTACTGACGAGCAATTTAAATTTTGAATTAGGAGAAGATGAAAAGATTAGACTAGGATAAAATATAAAAAGGACTCTACTGACTTATTGGACTAGGAAAAGATAAAAAAGGTACTCTATTGACGAGCAAACTGAACATTGGATTAGGAGAAAATAAAAAAGGGACTCCACCGACGAGCAAACTGTATATTGGACTAAAAGAAAATAAAAAAGGGACTCTATTGACAATCAAACTAATTTTTGGATTAACAGAAAATAAAAAAGAGACTCTACTGACAAGCAAACTAATTTTTGGATTAGTAGAAAATAAAAAAGACTTTACTGGCGAGCAAACTAAAAATTGGACTAGAAAAAATATAAAAAGGGACTCTACTGACGAGCAAATTGACGAATATTGGGCTAGGAGAAGATAAAAAAGGGACTCTACTGTCGAGTAAACTGAATATTGAACCAGAAAAATTATAAGAGAGATTCTATTAAATATTGGACTTGAAAAAAATATAGAAGGGTCTCTACTGACCAGCAAACTAAAAATTGAACCAGAAAAAAATCTAAAAGGGATTCTACTGACGGGCAAAGAGAATATTGTACTAGGAGTTTAAAAGGGACTCTACTGACCAGCAAACTGAAAATTGGATTGAAAAAACATAAAAGGGACTCTACTGACGAGCAAACTAAATATTAGACCAGAAAAATTATGAAAGGGACTCTACCGACGAGCAATTTAAATATTATACTAGAAAAAAATAAAAAGGGGACGCTATTGACGAGCAAACTGAATATTGGGCTAGAAAAATTTATAAAAGGGACTCTACTGACGAGCAAATTGAATATTGGTCTAGGAGAAGATAAAAAAGGGACTCTACTAAATATTGGACTTGTAAAAAATATAGAAGGAACTCTACTGACGAGCAAACTGAAAATTGAAACAGAAAAAAATCTAAAAGGGATTCTATGACGGGCAAACAGAATATTGGAGCAGTAAAACATAAAAGGGACTCTACTGACGAGTAAACTAAATATTGGATTAGAAGAATATAAAAAGGGACTCTACTCACGAGCAAACTAAATATTTGATTAGGATAAAATATAAAAGGGACTCTACTGAATTTCAAACTAGAAAAACATATGAAAGACTCTATTGCCAAGCAAAAAGATTGAACTAGGAGAATATAAAAAAGGGACTCTACTGACGAGCGGACCAAGTACAAAATACATTTTTAGATCACGAAATAAATTAAATAAAATGTGTTAAACAAATTATTTTAATAACAGATATTTTGAGTATGTTTGAAGACATTAATTGGAAATCGTATTGATTATTTTTTTAGTAAGGGGGCGTTTAAATTAATTTAAACAATTAATTTCTAAGACGTTTCGATAATAATAGAATTTTAAATACCACAATGTATCACCAAGGGGGAGGGGGGGTTCAAAAATCCTTAAAAAATTGCTCAAGTGATTAATGAACGCCCCCTAAAAGCGAAAATTTTATTTTTGAAATAAACATTTGAACATTTTGCGTAAACACTTGACTTTAAAATCTTATTGATTAAGTTGATTATGTATAGCTATCAAATATTTTGCCTTAAGGCAAAATGCCACTCACGCCTAGTTTTATTCCAGGGTTCTCCTTTGATGCCGACTTTGATAAGAAACCTTTTGGAACGTTTCTGTACCGAAGAGAAGGCAAATAAAATCAAAGATTATTTCATGGGAAAACCTTTAACGGGTTGCGAAAAAATGATTGCGTTGTGTTTGGAGAAGATCAGGATCAATTCGGCTTGGCTTCATAGAGACATTGGTAAAATATAATACAATCTAAGGTGTTTTTAACTTACCGAAGGAGAAGTTTATGTTTTCATCAAAAAATCCGAATTGCTAATTTTATGTTTTCTCGACGTTTCAAGCCATTCTGAATTGAATGAGATCAAATTTGGAAAAAGTATGTGTGTGTGTGAACAGATTGTTGACCTTTCGTCGACGTTTTCTCAAAAACGCCTAAACCGATTTCAAAAATTTAAAAGCCACTCGATGTATCTGGATGACTATTGTTTGTCAGTTTTGTGCGACGATCGGCCAAGCCGATTCTTTATAAATCGCAGAATTCTGAATCGATTTTGAAAATTCAAAAACCGTTCGAAAGATATTGGTTGGCAATCGTGCTGATTAGTTTTTGGTAGAGATTGGCCGGGCCGTTTTCTTGTAATAAAGTGTTAACAAAAATTTTTTTGATGATTTTTATGATTGTTTTTTTGACGGTAGATATAATATCATAGTCTTCTAGATCATACTAAAATATTACCGCCCTACGACAACTCGTTTAGCTGTAAAAATTCGTCAAAGTTTGCAAAAATTGGTATCGTTTTTTTGGCATTTGTCAAAATTAGACCTTTCATCGACCTTTGCTCAAAAACGCCTGAACCGATTTCAGAAATTTAAAAGCCATTCGATGTATCTCAATGAGCATTATAGTTTGTCAGTTTTGTGAGACGATCTGCCGAGCCGTTTCTTTGTAATTTGAAAAAGAGTGGTAAACTTTTCGTTCACATTTAAGCTCATTCTACCGAATCGATTTTGAAAAATCAAAAACTGTTCGAAAGATATTAGTTGGGAATAATACTGATTAGTTTTAGGTGAAAATCTACCGAGCCGTTTTCTTGTAATTAACTGTTGAAAAAAAAATTGAAGCCGATTTTCATGGAACTTTTTTTGGCGATATACATCATGGTCTTATAGAACTTACTGTAATATTACGGCCTTACGACAGTAGTTGAATTTTACAAATTCGTCAAAGTTTGCTAAAATTATTATCGTTTTTTTTTAAAGTAGGATTGATGAAGTATATTATTTACACTTTTTTTTTATTTAGTCGATTATTTACACATATCGGGAAGTTCATGTAACTTGCCTCAAGGCTAAATACCAAACCAACTAGTTTTTATTTATTTTTAATGATTTATTTCAGGTTCGATAAGTGAATACCTGACAGAAAAATTCCCGTACGGTTCCAGTTTAGAAATGCACACGATCAAAATATCCGAAGACATTTTGCACAGAGACACCAAGTCTAAGGAACTGGTGGACGACGACGATGATAAATCAGCAAAAATTCCCAAGTAAGTAAATCATCACACCAATCATATCAATAGAATTGTCTTATAAAACAAGATTTTTTTCTAGTACTTCAATTAAGAAGTTCCAAAGACACCAGAGCCCAAATAAGGCGATGGACAAGGTTAATACCAAGTTGCAAGATGCAACCCCAATCAGCATCATTAGGGCGAAAAGTGCAGCGGGTAGTAAAACTGAAGATTCTAGTGGAACTGATGATGGAATATACTTTTCTTGAACTGTTTTGATATTTTTGTACATATTGTAAATTTGTTGAGAAAAAAACTGTTTGTTAATTCGCATAAGAGGACAGTCGTACAAGGTATAAATAATAAATGTATTTTAATACGAAGAAATGTTTTCTAAACAAAATCCGATTTGCTAATATTTTCAATGGATCTTTAGGACTCGACTGGCGAACAAACTAGATTTTAATAGAAAATCTTAAAAGAATTCTACGGATGAACAAACCGAATCTCAATTTTATTAATAAACTATTAATAACTAAGGTTAATAATAATACTAATGCTTTCAACATATCCAATTCTACCATCTTATATATTGAAAAGAATAGTGACCTTAGAAAGATAGTTGAGTCGTTACTTATATCCCTTGATACTTCTTGTGTCAACAAACGGAATTCCTCTCATTTTCTACATGACAGTTACAAAGCTATTATAAATCACAAGAAAAGTAATTCTTTACAGAGTTCTTAATCTTTCGTTCGTTATATCTCTTTCTCTGTTTCTCATTCCTCTTTTGTTTCTTACGCCCCGCATCCACTCACTCTACCGCACGTGCCGCGTAACCTTGAATTCATTTGTGTTCACTTGCGGCCCTATTACATGATTTTACTATATTGCAAATTTATAGTTGTTTTTGTAAGAAACATGTGTGATTTTATATTTTT